ATGCGATCATGGACAGCGAGATACTGTACGTTTGGTGGTCGAAATTTTCTCAAGAGGGCTAGAGTTTAGGAGAACGTGGAGAAACGAATGCAGTGAAATTCGTGCATAATTATGTATAAAGGGGCTTAGTTAATAATTCCTGGAATTGTCTCAAATATGTTATCAAAAGTTTGCTTAAATATAAAATGTTGAAAATAGGCGACTTTTTTCTAATACAACTGAAATTTATCATAAACTGTTGAGCAGAAAAGCTATTCTCACGGAAGATCAAGTAGCATCACTTCCTTTTCGGATTTAGTACTTTTATAATATTTTTACTTTCACTATTTTCTGCCCTTTATGAAGATTTCTGTATCTGCTATATTCAGAAATCCTCAAATACTTTTCTTCTACTACCTCAATAGCGAAGGGTTATTGAGGTACAGAACAGATGCACCTAGCATTTAGGAGCTCAGTGAAAGGCAGCGCAGAGAGAGAGAGTATATGTGTGTTAACACTTAAAGTAGCTTGTGAAAATATTACTTGGAGCTGAAACATTATGTGGTTTTTCTGACTAGTAAATTCTTCGTTCATTCATTTATAAAACACAGATCGTACATTGTACATTCGAGCAAGAAAGAACGATCACGACGCAGAAAGGCTACTAAATAACATTACTAAAATATAACTGTAATAAATAACGATGTAACAGAAATAGCAAGACTGAAATAATGCTGTATATAATATGATTATAAATTGTCAGTGACTGGATCTTTTGCAGTGAGGAATAATAACAGGGAATTAATAAATAATTATAAATAATAACAGTAAAAATAATAATAAATCGAGAGATTGTAACCGCAAAACACAGAGATTCTTTTTTACAAAAACACAGAAAAAATCGCACGTTCAAATGACAGTTTTGTAATATTTCAACAGGAAGTATTGCACAAAAGGGCTATTTGGAGAGTGGCGTAGTTGTTCACAAGAATTGCAAATGCGGTACTGTTTGAAAGACCATTAGTGTTTTTGCTGTGGTTTATCACGTTTTGACTTTACCTCCGATTAGGAAAGTAGCAGGACAGTAAGGAAACTCATGTAGACTTATCCAGAGGAGTAGTTGCAAATCTTACAAGTGATTTTTAAAATTTTTTAGATTCGATCTTGCGAGGAAGTATCTGGAAGTGGGAATTGATAGGATATTATACGTCGATGAGTGCAGCCCGATTTTACCCGGATATTACTGCAACTACTCGGAAGCACTCTACCACTGCGGAAAGAGGTATGTTGTTGTCCAGTACGTATGCTTTGCCTAGTTTATTTAGAACATTTTGCGTCGAAGTGAAATGAAAATATTAAAACTGCAAATATTTCGATCTGAATAACCCCTCTCTTGCAGCCTGTCCCCATCTTCTCCCTTCACCTGCTCGCCTCTTGTGTATTATTTTCCTGTTTTGTCCAGCTTATGTCCTGCTACTCGCAAGACCCGTAACACCTGCTTTCAAATATAGCGCGCATTTTGTTATTTGCGTATTTGATCACGCACCATCCAATCAGCAACCAACCAGTGTTTTAGAGAAGAAGCGTTAGAATATGCCAAAAAAGCGGCGAATTTCTCGCGCTCTGAATCGAAAGAACTGCAGAATTATACAGCCCGATTCCTTCGCGATATGGAACGAGATTACAGACGACGCCGATGACAATCCATTACAGAACAATCATTTTGTGTGTGGTACTTCTCCTGTGTTCATGAGGCCTTACTGAACACGGAGGACAAGAGCCCAGTTTGTAGTGGCGAAGAGAAATACCTGAACATGATGGATGAACTGTTATTATTATAACTTAGTTTTGTACACTCGTACACTAGCACCTAGCCATTAGTTAGAACCTGTGTGTGTGTGTGTGGGTAGAGCGGGTTTCTTGATCTTTGTACATCGTGCTTTATTTAAACTAAGTAAATGTCGGCAGTCGTGATATTTTTGTTACTGTGTTAATTTCAACAAGAAATGCAAAATTTTACGTTATTTTAGTGAGATAGTAATAACAGAATTCTAAAGATAGTAATAGCAGGTAAAAGAAAAGCAATCACTGTCACTTGTAGTAGTGCCAATTCACGAAATAACAATATGTTTAAAATTGAAATTAAAAATCGCTGTTATCAATTCACAATTTGGTATACAACAAACAGACGCTTTGTTTAAACTGAAGACATGCAGCCTGGGATCGAAGGACCTGGCATATTTGCGACCGGCATTTGAGAGCATCCTCAGTAATACCACTAACATGGGATACTCACAGCTACCTGTACAGGATTCTTGATACTGACTATCAGTACATCGTACAATCACTCTCCTTTTTGGCATTAACGTGGGAATCGACAAAATCATCGGTAATCGAACTTGCTCCAGCCTACTAGGTACTTTTTTCTCTTTTCTTACATCAGGAGACAGCCTCTAAGCACCTATAACTAAAGCGGGGATTGAAAGGCAGTTACTAAAACTTAGCTCGCCCCGCACCCTAGCATTCCTATTCAGGCAATTACAATAACTCGGCTCGGCTGATGATCTATGGTGCTTTAGCTTTCCAGCGCTTCGCACTGTCATCTCGACCAACACTATTCCGCGGCGTCGCTTTCTGGAACTTCGCCAGGCGCGCTGGGTAGCGCTGCCCCATGTCTGGCGGCTGAATTACGTGGCTGGGCAGGAAGTGATAGGTGGGAGGACTGGACGTGGTTGGGGGGTGTTGCTTGGTAGTTGCCTAGATACAGCTCAGAGGGCGCAATTAAGGCCAGGACAGTGGGGAGAAATGGAGTTGCTGGTTAGGAGTTCAGAACGATAAACGGTGACAGTGGTTGGAGGTGGTGGGTGCCCCGATGCTCTGGAGGCAAGAATTGGGGACAGGCTACAGGAGGGGTAGAAGGGTGCTAGTCGGGAGTTCGAGGCAAGAACTGCTGATAGCAGCAAAGAAGAAAATAAACTAATACGCCATTACGAAAAAAAAGTAAATCAAAACAGACTTGAATTTGTGAATAAAAGGAAAAAAAGCAAAATCAAAGAACTGGAGCCTGTAACCAGTAAAAAAGCAAAAGCAGACAAAAACTGAGCTTATGCGAGTAGGATTTGTCTTACAAAAAGCCGTCTTCAGTGAGCGTTCCTCGCGTTTATGAAGTTTATGCTTATGTGAAGCTGAGAGCAAATAAGTTCGACAGGATTTACTGGAGCTTATGCTTAGGTGAAGCTGAGGACAAATAATTTCGGTGGGATTTACTGAAACTTATGCTTAGGTGAAGCTGAGGGCAAATAAGTCCAGTTGGATTACACAGGAATTGCAGACATTTTCACAGTGTTGCTTCTTGCAGCCTACAGCTGTGTACAACAGTTATACCTTTGTTTTCTTGTTTTCAAAATTTCACAGTATCAAAGGCTGACTTCATCCCCAGGCATCCATTCTACCCTGTTTTTGCCCACTTCATAGAAATTCTTCGTTCTCAGCTTTACTTAAGCATCAGTTTCATAAATAGGGAAGGCTAATGACGGGCTTTTGTGGAGCAACTTTACCTAAGCACCCTTTTCATAAATAAAGCCTAATGATTTGTTTTTCACTATTTTGGAACAAATTCGCATGCTTATATACTTGTCACAAAGAGCGGGACAGATCACAAGGGATCGAGACGTCAGTCTGCGGTTCGATTCTGGATTGCTCTTTGCTTTTGCTGCGCGCCATCTTCCTCTCCCCTTACACAAGGGAATAGGAAAGAAAAATAAAAATTTTGTTTGGAGAATTCATAAGGGACGTAGTGCTAAGGAAGTGCCTCTAAGTGACGTAGCGCTAAGTGGCCGGACATGCCTGAATATGGGCCCGGGACTCCGTGTTGTGTGTGGTATGAAGCGTGTGAGGATGGATGAATGGAACAGATGAGTTGTAGTGGGGAGGTGAAAAGAGGAAAGAAATGGATTGTAAAACGCAGATGTGTAACATAAAGAACTAAGAAGATGTAACAAGGGCATGTATAAGAGCTTAATGTGAAACTAGCTGTCTGTGTTTCATCCCTAAGCTGCAAACACAGACAGTGTATGGTGTGGATTGGGGTGGGAGCCTCAAATCAGTGCAGCCCCCAAACCACCATTTGGAAATGAAGATAACTTGGATGCATGGTAAGAGAGGTGG